TGTGAAAATGCAATTTACAGTTTTTATATCACTTTTCATTATCTGAGGGGGGAGGGGGGGCAAGGGTTATGAAGTTCAACGTAATTGCAATATTATGTTTTCCTACAACGTAAATTGAAAAAAATAAATTCCGTAATTCTGTAATCACAGGCTAGAGTAGTACAACGCAATCAATCAAATATTTTTTTCGTTTCGTACACTGTAAAAATATGTCATTTTTCTCGGTACGTACAAGAATTTTCTAGGTTTTCTTTCTTAATTTTCTGTAAAATGTAAAATAACCTTTATTTTCTCTGTAAACTGTAAACATTCAATTTTCACTGTAAACTGTAAAAACGTCTTTTTTTCCTTGTAAATTGTAAAAAGCCCTTTTTATTTCACGTAAAACTGTACCAGCTACCCCCTTTCCCCCCCCCTTATCTAATTATTCAACTTTTAATTCTCTAGATCTTAGAATTATTGCATATTTAATGAGTCACATGACCATATATGGTAATCTGTTATATTGTCCACATCTCTTGTGTGATACATTCATGATAGCATTGATTGCATGCTGCAAGTAGTTCAGATACTTCAGATATGCATATAAACGAGGTCACATGACAACCAATTTATGATTGACTATTTGTCACAAGAATGAAATTCAAATTAAACAGATAGACAATTTCCCAAAATTAATGTATTACCCATTCAGTATACGGGGCATAATGGGGCCCTCCCCTTTCCAAAGATATATTGCAGAATAAGGAAAAACAAGTCATTGTCAATGACATAGTCCCTGTCTGTATTATAGACGCGATATATATAACCTAATGTGTGATGTATTTGTGAAGTTTTAACTTGATTGGTCCATGAGTGTACGAGATATGGTTCTGTGGATTAGCATTTTGTTTATTAAAACATGATGATTATGAGTCAGCCATTTTCAATTTGATGGTGACAAAAATGCATGTGCGTTTGTCCAATATGATGTTTTATGTATGTGTGAAGTTTGAACATGATTGGCCCAAACATGTGGGAGACATGGCTGGATATAGACAGACAGCCACAAATGCACACATGGAGGTCAAGGCAAACATAGGCAGACATGTTGCTTTAAAAATATATCCCACAGGATCGGATTCCTTATATTCCATATATCAATCTGTTTTTTCATTCTGACATTCACTATACATTTTTAAAACATTATTCTTTATTGTAAATAACATTTGAATAGTCTGAAAAGATTCATTTATAATTATTATAAATTTACAAAAAAATAATTTTTCAATCACTAAACAAATCTGAAACATTAGTACTAGTAAATCAAAAACAAAAATATAAATATTGGTTCATATTATTATTTTTTTAAATACAGCACAACTTATCTGAGTGAGGTAGCTTTGTAGACATGTAATAGAAATTTGTGTATTTCCACTTAAAATATGCAAACATCAGTAGAATCATTGCCTGCCCTTATTTATCTACCCTTGACTTTGGAAGGTACAGCCATGGAAACAAAATAAAGGATTTATAAGATAAGGGTATGTACGGTGATACGAGTATGAAAATCTCGTATGAAACGAAAATATTTCAAACAAATAGTGTCAGTGGATCATTGTCATGTTCAAAAACACACTTACTAGTAATACATGATTTGTTTGTCTTATGATCATCTTCAATTTTCATGAAATCCTCATCACATGTCACTTACATACAGCAATAAATTAGCAATATTACTTTGATCACTCCCAATCAAGTAAACAATAGAAATACTATAACAGAACAAATTCAAAATATACTAAATTACCCATTATGAATAATTTCTATGTAGGAATATCAAAATTTTGTTTTAAACTACATATTTCCAATAAATTGCATGTACCACGGAGACAAAGCTCTGCTATTGTTTTGACGTATAGTATTTAAACATTTTATTTTGGACCAAAGATTAACGAGCAGGTGCATTACTTTTTTTCACGATTTGTCCAAATATTGATTTTGGGAATTTTGGGGGACAAAAATGGCCACCAGTGGGTCAAAGGTCAACAAAATGCAGCAAAAAAAAATCAACATGAATTATATATATAATTATAACTTGTCTTTTTATCAACATTGAACCTAATCGCCATGTCAGAAAAATGACGATTTATGGCACAGAAACATGGACAGGTCTGTTGTTTTCTACTTTGTCTGACCAAAGACACTAGCAGACTATAAACACTTAAATGTTTTTTGTTTCATCCTTCGGTGATTTAATCTGAACATTGTATGAAAGCCTAAATGTAAAATTAGTTCTTATTATTTTGCATTGGGCAGACATTTTACTTTCACAGGGCAGCCCCCCCCCCCCCTCTAAATTTACAACAATTTACATGGTGGATACCCATCAGCATCAAACGTTTATGCGAACCGGAATCATTTGCTTACGATGAAACTAAGCTGAATTTTATTTGCATTTGATAACAATTCAACAAATTTATTTTTTTGTACATTATTATAATCCCCATTTTTGGCAATTTGCCGTTTTCCCGGAGGGGTTAATACTCGGACAACTACGGTATATATACAGCAACTATTGATGTCTATGTAATCTAATTACGCTGTGGAATCTAAATTTTTCAATATCGCCTTCGATCACAATCCAGTGTTGACTTTGACTTTACTATTATTAATGTAAGTTAAACTGATAATCTGGTTTCTCAATTTATTTTATGAAAAACCTTTTACTTGACAGCATATCCTGCTAGATGGGGCTTGATAAATGGCCATGTAACAGGGGCACTGAATCTTTTGTATTTTACTTCTGAGAAGCCAGCTTCATCGATAGCTTTCCATGTTTCCTCTGCCATAGAACATCCAGATATCTTATGCCATGCAGGGTTCAGTAGTCTTTGTATCAAGTACATCCAACTATTCCGTAGTGCTGCGGTGTGCTCCATGAAATAGAACTTGCCTCCCTGTAGCAAAGAACGAATATTTTATTACGATACATACAAACATTTTATATCTGTTTTTCATAATGAACTTTTTTTTTTACTTTTTATTATATTTGTTTGTTTAGTTTGAACATTTAAAAAAAGTGTCAGTTGATATAGTTGCAGTGTTTGAGATGGACATAGTAAAAGAAATTTTATAATATTAACAGAATTAAAAAAAAATATGGAACCATTCTGGCTCATACGTTGAGAATACTGATACAGCTTTTTGACCAAAATCAGAGAAGTAGAAAGGGATCTTTATCACCAACAAAAAAAAAAAATTATATCGAACGCACTTTTAAGGAGAAGTTGAAAAGGTCAAGTTTACCAGCGATGAATGAAAGAGAAAACAGATAATCAGTGATTTGAATATTTGGTGCATTTTCTGAAATCTCAGATACAATATGCTAATTAACTTCAATTTTTAATTACTTCAAATGACTCTTAGGCAACCAACAAACTAGCGTAAATAATAATGTGACCAATTTCCATTACGACACAAATATTAAGATTACATTATGTATTGTCAACACTACATTGTTTGCCTAAACTATACTTTGATGTTTAACATTTGAATTAAGAAGTGTCCAAAATAACGATATAAATCTTGCGATCAAACTGTTAGTCACGAAGAAATCGCTGACACAGATGACCCATGATATCTATGCGATTGTTGATATACCGTGGTAATGCTTTACCTTACAAAAATATTTACACCATCCAGGATATACTTACAATTTAGAACAAATAAACTTAGAATTAATCGACCACCAAACCCCAATAAATAGTTTCAAAAAATTTCCACATTTTAAAATTTAATTGGAAAATATACTTGATGGATTAAGACATAAATTAATTGGAGAAAATGTGAATAAATATTGTCATTGATCTTATGAGAATATATTTACGAAGCTGAAACAAATTCTTCCAGCACAACTCCTCCCTCCTTGATTTCAATTTGGTGACCCATTACCAAGCTTTCCTTTTAGGTTTGCATGTCTGCTGTCACTGTTCAGGGCGAACCCAATCCAACACTGACGGGCAAAGCAAAGGATTTAACCTAACCAAAAACGAAAGGGCAGCCTTTACGTTTCTAGGTCAATATTAAAATAAACATTATCAATATGAATGTTATAATTGTTTGAATGTTTTTGCTCCTACCCACTAAGAAATATCATTTATTATTATTTTAATATTGACCTAGAAACGTAAAGAACGCCTGTGCCTTTAACCCCTGACCTATATTCATTTATGTGAACTTTGACTACATTTTCACGATACTCACTGGTTTTAGCACTCTTTTGATTTCATTCATTACATCGTCGGCATTTTGCACAGAGCACAACACCCAGGTTACCACGACAACGTCCACGCTGTTATCAGCAACTTCTCTCATATCCTCACCGAAAGCTATCACTAACTTCTGAATTTTGATGTGAGAAAACTTGCTAGTGCTGGACTCTATGTAGCTGTCAAATCCCTCCATGGGGTCCACTGGAATCAGGTTCGTCCCCTCGGGGTAGTATTTGAAGTTCGCCCCAGTCCCGACACCGATTTCCAGGACTGTGAAATCGTCACCTGAGCGAGTAGCTCGCTGTTGAAGCATCGGGAGGTCTGCGAACAGGTCACGCTTAATCGGCGTCATAACTCTGGCAACGCTGATTGTAATTCTGTCTATGATACGGGGATATATCATGGGGAATACGCGCTCATGAGCAGCATCAAATACTTTGCTGAAAATCCACAGTCCAGCTACTATCGCACCGCACCTCGGAAGCCATCTGTACGCAAGAACTTCAATCGGCGCCATGTCCATGTTTTCAATAGTGGCGATGTGGATTATTACGCCCTCGACGGCTGGTTCACACGAACGAATCGAATAAATCCACCGGCGAGGGCGCCAGAATCAGCCGACGATGACAAGCTACATACCGTTTCCCAAAGCAGGGTTCTTTTTTTCCTAGATAATTTGCAATATTAATTTCATTTATGTAATTTTTTTGCTGAGATATTATCTTAAAATCGTGTAATGTGGCCACAGGCGTTTATAGGTCAATATTAAAATAATCAATATCAATACAAATGTCATCAAAAGTTCAATGTATGATAAAAAACTTAATTCCTTTAGTTTTGAACCCACCCCACTGAAACTTAATTGATAAATATTGATCATGGCGTCAGACTACATTCACCATTAAATACAAATTGATAATCGGACAGTAGTATGGCATAGCTGTTGGTTCGGTCCATGCCCTTTGACCCTCATTTGGCGCACATATTTACACTTGGACCAAACCATTTTCCCGTCTTGGATGTTTTTTTTTGTTTTTTTCATTTTCTGTTATTTTTGTCCATGATTGGATAAAAAAAAAAAACTACAAGTACTCCAGGATTTTGTTAACTTCATTAAAAAATAAAATCGTTTTTGTAGGATGGAAACTTTTTGAGGTCACCCCCCCCCCCAAACTAAAGGAAATAAGTTTTTTATTCGACATCGATCTTTTGACGTCGACCCCAATATTCTGAATATTTTGATCACACAAACTAAGAAATACCACAAGGTCAGAAAGATTCTTGTGACCTTTAATGACCTGAAACAAAACATACAGGTATTAACTAAAAATATTAGCCTTCATTATATTCTCTCAAACTTGCAACGAGTATCAATGAATGCATGCATAAACTATCAATCG